ATTTTGACAGTTGTATTGTGGCTATGTAGGAAAGTGTCCTTGATTGTTAGAAATACACATTGAAGCATTCAGGGATGATGGGGAATCATGTCACAACTCACACATAAATGGTTCAGAAAACAACAGAGACAATAGCTGTATTTGCACCTTTTTCTGTAACTGAGTGTTTTGAAGTTTTAAACAAACAGAAAAGAGAAGGGAAGGGGAAGGAAAAACAGAAGAACATGAAGTGAAGTGGGGGGACCTGGAGGTGTGAGCCAGAGGAGATGGGAGAGGTGCTGTGCAATTCTCTTTCCTGGAACACTTTCGGAGCCCAACAGACCACCTCCAGACAGCCAGTAACTCCTCAGCTGTGGGTTTGCCCACCACCCCACACTCTGCTACAAAATTCTATGGGCAGGATGGTTCTGCAAGCCAGAGGAGCAGGGTGAGTCAGGGACGCTGTTGTTCCAGAGCCCCAAATATTGGGAGGAGTTGGCGACAAGAGTGATAGATGCAAAGAGGGGGTCAGGCAGACCCTGAGAGGTCAGGAATTACTGTGCAAGTGAAACCTCCATAGACTGAGGTAGAGGAATGCTCTAAGTGTTCTTTGCAGGCGCCTTAGGGCCTAGGGGTGGGACTCAGAGACACTGAGAGGGTATTTTATTCTATAGCTTTTTGCACCCTCTCTCCTTTCCTAAAAGTTCTTACTTTTAGGCAGGGCAGGTACACATGGTGCTTCCATATCAATATGAACTTAGTTTGGAAAGAGCACAGGAACAAGAGCTAAGACCACAGGTTCTGACCCCAGCCCTGTTGTCCAACTCTCCTAGCCTCAGTTTCCTCATCTGTTAAATGAGAGAAAATATCAGCCCTACTATTTCACAAAGTTGAGGGGTGGGAGAACAAATGAAAGCACGTGGATGCCAGGCTGCATCACTTGGTAGAGAAAGAATTAGTGGGTTTTCTTTTTCTACCTTTACTAGGCAGGTGGAGAGTCACCTCTCTCTCATTTCTACCCAGGTCAAACACTTTTCTGAGGAACACTTAGAAGAGATATGACTCTTCTGTGTTAATCAAGACTATCTACAGGGTTGCACTGGGCACCAAACTGGAGACAAGCAATAATTCCCCTATGAAGTTGAAAGAGGCTTCTGGACCTTGGCACTTCTCATGGCCACTACTACCACCATAGTCTGTCCATTGTCCTATCTTATTTTACTGTTACTCATCCACCACCACCACCACCCTTCCCTTCCTCACTTTCTTCATCACTCAGGTTAGCTTCCATGGCCTATTATTGTAATCAACTTCTTATGCTTCTAATGCTTTTGTCCCTCTGTCATGTCCTTCTATACCACTCCTTCCTCCATTCCACTCATACTCAAATTGCTGAGCTTTGTAAGAGAGACAAATCACACAATAGTGCAAACTGGACTCACTTCAAATCCCTATCTACACATCTCTAACGGATGCTGGGCACTTCTCAGCAATCCCCACACCCCAGTACATCTGCTTTCCCTCCCTCCAAAAGACCCTTTCACTCTCTCATCTCCGTTCAAAACCATCATGCCCTTTCCCTCCCCCTCCTCTCCACCAATGACTGCTTCATTCTTCATTGACAAAATAGAAGCACCACCCAGGAGCTTCCCACCACCAGCCCACCTCCATCTGGAGCCACATTCCCCACTTTCCCTCTGTTGCTATGGTTGAATGGTCCCTACTCCAACAAAAAGGTCCATCCTTCCACCTGTGCTCAGGTCCCAGTAGGTCCTTGCTCCTAAATTGATCTACTCTCTCTTCCATAGGTACAATTTCTCTCTGTCTCTCTACTGGACCATATATACACAAATGTTTCCACATCACCTATCTTTAGGAAGTACCACTTGTGGTCAGTTTGTCACACTAAAGTGGCTTTTATGTTGTGAGGATGGTGCAAGACAAGGCAGAGTTTCATTCTCTTGTAAAAAGTGTTGCTATGAGTCAAAACCTGACTTGACAGCACCTAACAACATCTTTAGAGAGAAAATAAACCCTTACTTTGGCCCCACATTCCCCTGCAGCTAATGTTTATTTCTTCTTTCCCTATCACAGCAAGAAGAGTTGTTTATGGTTTTCACAGGCCCTCCTTTAACCTATTCCAACTGAACTTCTATCTTCACTTCTACAGTGAATGTTCTCCTGTTAGGATCACCAGTAACCTCCATGTGGCCAAATTCAGTGGTCACTTCCTGTTCTTATTTTACTTGATCTCTTAGCATTCCCTGTGGTTGACCAGTTCCTCCTTCCCCTGGCTTCACAGTACTCCACTATCCTGAATGTTCTTCTGTTTCATTGACCATAACTTCTCTGCTTCTTTGCTGGCACCTTCTCCTCTGCTTGACCTCCAAATTTTGAAATGCTTTGGGGCTCTATCTTTGACTTTTTTTTTTTTTTCTTTTAGTTATGGATTACTCCAATGTGCCTTCATCCTGTGACTTTAAATAGTATCTATATCCTGATAACTCACAACTGTATATGCCCCATTCTGACTGTCTCTGGAACTGTAGGCTCTTATATTCAACTCTTACTCAACATCTCCACCAAGATGTCCAATAGTCACTTCAAACCTAACATGTGCATAAGAGAAGTCTTGATATCTTGCTCCCTGTAGCCAGCCTCATGAGTGTTCCACCTCCAGCCTTCCACCATCCATCCAGTTGCTCAAACCAAAAAAAAAAAAAGTGACCTCACTAACTCCTCTCTTTTTCCTCATGCCCACATCCAATCCATAAGCAAGTTACTTCTCTCCACCTCCACTGCTACACCCACCCCCCCATGCACTCCAGGGCAGATCTCTCCTGGAGCACTACAGTAGCCTTCTAACCGGTCTCTGCTTTACTCTTGCTGCCTATAACAACACATTCTCCATAGAGCAGCCAGAAGGAGTTTTTTTCTCCCAGAGGGAGATCTTTTAAAAAATATAAATCTGATAATGCTTCTCCCTTGCTTAAAACCCTCTAAAAGGCTTCCATCACCCTTAGAATAAAACCCAAATTTGTCTTTCTAGTTTACAAAGCCCAACATGGTCTGGTCTCTGCCTCCCTCCCCCACTGCATCTTGCTACTACTTTCCCCTTTGCCCTCAATGCACAGCCAAGCTGGCCACCATTTTGTCTCTTGAACTCAATTCTACTTGGAAGATTTTATACAGGCTGTTTCCTCTGCCTGGGATTCTCTTCCCCTGATCTTTGTCAGCCTGGTTCCTTCATGCCATCCAGGTTAAATGTGACCCCTTCAGAGAACATCCAACCTAAAGTAGCCACCTATTTATCCTATCCCTCTACTTCAATGATCTTCAGAGCATTTGTTATTTTATTTTATTTTTTTTTTTTGAGTGTTTTGCATGTTTATTTACTATCTGGATCCCCCAACTAGAATGAAGACTCTTTAAGATCAAGGACTTTTTGTTTACTGCTTTATCCCCAGAACAGAACCTGGCTCACGGCAGCATTTATAGGTGTTTGCTGAATGAATGAGTGAATGAATGCTCCTGTCCTTCCAAAGTCTGCAGCAAGTGGGTCAAGCAGCAAGCAGGACAGGTGGTAGAGCCAAGGCCACACGTGAATAGGTTTGTTAGGGTGTGTGAAGGGCAAGGGTACCACCTGTACCTGTGGTTTCTTAGGTCAGACCCAAAGGGGTATCTGGACAGCAGGCACCCTGTGGGGAGAGCACAAGAGTTCCGGCAGATCAGCAGGGAGCACGTATGGGCTTTACCCGTGAAGCTGAGGTCACAGCACACAAAGGGAGACTGTGCTGACTCCTCAGAGCTCAGATTCTGGAGCAGAGACTTCATGCAACAATTCACTACCCTGGTGCCCTTGGAAGGGACACTGAAAACACATTCATTGCTCCTCACCTTTGCCTCTTGTTCTTGCCTTTCTCTTTTCCCTATCCAGCTCTGCTAACTAGTCCTCTGACTTGTCCTCTCATCAGACCCTCTGGGGAATGCCCTTACCTCCAAGCCTCATCCTTTTCACCCTTTGGAAATCTGTTTACAAGGTTCTTTTGGAATTAACCCTTCCCAGGCACAGTGCTACAGGCTGCTTCAGTACCACTGCCTAACCCCAAGTCCTGCTCTCTGTTGCAACTTAGTTCTCTGTGCCGCAACTTCTTGCCTACATGTCATTCTCCTTGACCTCATTGTGAGCTCCTGGGGCAGGGTCTGTGGCTTGTTTATCACCATAACTCCAGCACTTAGCCCCATGTATTCATAGTACTCTGAGTCCTGTCTCCCCCTCTGATGGCCACTGTTTGGGCAGGGATTGCTTCTAGTTCTTCCTTTAAAGTTCTCCCAGTCCTGAGCACAGGGCCTGGATACTGAATCCAATCCTCTTGCATGATAAAAGATACAAGGCAATCTTCTAATCAGGGACACTTGCAGGTCTGAGCATTTTCAAGATGTGCTGGGCAGAGGAGGGACTGGGAATGTTCAGTCCACGGGAAAGGAGAGAGGAGCTGAAAAGCATGTCTCTGTTTTTAATCAGTTTCCAGCCTGAAGAAAATCCCACTTCCAAGAGGAGTTGAATTGCCAAGACAGCCCCATTAGCAACAGGGTCTGTGGGTAATAGAGGACCATGTCCCTCCACAGGCATGACTTGAGGTCTGCCATAATGCCACTGACTAGGGAATGAGGAGACCTTTGGGGGCTGTGGAAAGGAAAAGGAGGAGGAATAATAGCTACCATTTTGCAGAACTCAACAGATTGTTTAAAGCTTGGACAAAGCACCTCTGCCAATAAGGAAGCTAAGATGGGATAGATGTAACCACTAGCTGGCATGGTGTAATGTGGAAACCTCAGAAACCCATGGCTGAAGTCCTGCTAACAGGGACCTCCTTTGGCTGGGTGCTTGCTCCACCTCCCCAACTCCAAGTACTCTGTAGTTTTCCCTCATCTGTCAGTCTATGCAACCCAAGCAAGAAAGTGTAAGACCTTCATTCATCCCCTACATCCATGGGAAAATACTTGGAGGGTTGTCTTACTGTTGTCCAAGTGGTTGGCCTTAATGATCTTCTCTGAGTAGTCAGAAATACTGGAACATTCAATCTAGAAAGGGCACAGAATAAAGGAGCAAGGCATCAAAAAACATCACAGCACATCCAATGCCAAAGCAACTCAAGGGCTATTAACTGATGGTAAAACTGAGAACCAAAGACAAAGTGACTTGCCCATGGCTGAACAGCTAATTCATGGCAGACCAAATATTAAAACTCAACCCTCCTGCCTCCCAGGCCAGTAGCCCTTCCACTAAATAAGGCTGCCTTTGCTGTGAGGATGATACCCAGCCACTGCCCCTTGAAAGGAACCTGGTTTCTGAGTTGGGAGATTAGGGAGGAGCTGGCTTGTGGAGAATGGTATGAGATGGCATAGACACTGTTCTCCCAGAGAGGATGGGCCAGAGAGAACTTGGCCAGAGTTGCTATGAATCTCCCTCAACTTTATTCTCCCCCCAGTCCACTAACAGTAGGCTGGGCATATTGCAGGTAGTGAGCCACCTGGAAAATACCTGGTCAGAGCCATAGGCCCAGTCTGAAGACCCCTCCCCACATACATATTCTCAAGTTAAACATCCTCTGCAGTCTCCACCTTTGAAAGGATGTTCTGGCTTTAATCTAGAAGACACATCAAGCTTCCTAAAGCTCCTAAGCAAAGGTCTATTTGAGAGTTTAGTTGACCATCACCTGAAAGCCAGACCTTATAGGAATGGTTGGAGACTGAGCCCCAAGCAAGGGATTGGAGGCATAGGTCCCACCAGGGAGGGCCAGGGGGTGCTGGAAACAGACAGGTAGCTGCCAGGAGCTGTCCTCCCTTGCTTTGCTGCCCTGCTCTAGAGGTTGGCCTGTGCTGAGGTCCTAGGCTCCATTCACTGCTACACCTAGGGCCCCACCTTAGTCTACCCACAGGGCCTTCAAGAGGGATCATGTCCTCAAGAAGTTGCATAGGGACATGGAAGGAGTTGCTGGCTGCCTCCATCAATGACGTGGGGAGGTGAGGATATCTACACTGGGAGGACGGGTCCCTCTGTTACAGCAGTATCTAAGGAGCAGTATCTGGCTGGGCTCATCCTCACAGGTGGACCAGCTCTTTCCAGAACTATCACAACCTGTGGTCTTCAGATCTGACTGGCTGGGCTACCATGTCTCTCTTCTCCTCTTCTTTTCCCTTCTTTTCCGAGTTATCATCTCATCTTCAGGAGGTTACTGTGTTTAGTGGTTAAGAACATGCAATCTGGAGCCAGCCAGCCTGGATTCACACTATACCTCTGCCACTTTTCAACTGTCCCTGTTTCCTCATGAGTAAAATCACAGTACCTGTTTCAGATGGTTGTTGTGAGGAATAAATGACCTAATGCATGTCAAGCACTTAGAGCAGTGATTGGCTGCACCTAGGAATGTGAGACATCATTATTATTCTCTTTCTTCTTTCTTCTTTTCCTTTTTCTCCCCTCTTCTCTTTTCATCCTCTCTTCATTTTCCTCATTCTTTTTTTGTTTTTGCTCTTTTGTTCTCTTTTTCCTTTTTTGATCTCACTCCTATTTCTCTGGCTTTTCTCTGAGTCTTTTTACTTTACTTTTCTGTCTCTTTCCATTTCTCTCTTCATATCTGTTTCTCTATTTCTCAGTGTCTCTGTCAAGGGTCTCTCTCCCTCCTTCTCTCTCTCTTCTCTGTTTCTCCCTCTCACTCTCCTTCTGTCTCTTTTCTCTCTTCTTTCTCTCCCTTCTTCTCTTGTTTTTTTTCTCTTTCTCCTTCCCTGTCCCTCACACACTGTCTGTTTTCCTCTCGCTCTCCCTTCCTCTCCTCTCGTTCTCTTCCTCCCCCTCTCTTCTTTGTCTCTTTCTCACACTCCTCTCTACCTTCCTCTTCCTTCTCTCTCTCCTCTTTTTCTCTCTTCCTTTCTCTTCTCTCCTTTTTCTTTCCCATCCTCTCCTCTCTCCTTCCCTCTCTCTCTTCTCTATCTCTCCCTTTCTCTCTTCCTCTGTCTTTTTCTTTCTCTCACTCCTCTCTTTTCTCTTTCTCCTTGTATCTCTTCTCTCTCTCTTCTGACATCCCATGTCCCCCACTGGAGAAGTGCAGTCGGTGGAAGAGGGAACTTGGAACAGGAGAAACTGTGAAATGAGCCATCCAGAAAGAAGCCTAGCTAAATGTGGTGGAGCTACTTATAAAAGTGCTGTTACAGAAAAAAAGCAGGAGAGAGACAGATTGTGATGAGTCACCACAGCTGGATGGTTCTGAGGAGGAGCCTCCCAACATCTCCTGGCTGGTGCTACTGGACCACTGGAAACCAATGATAGGCAACACTGCCACTCCCTGCTCAGCTTTCCACTACCGATGCCCTAACTGAGGCCAGAGCTGAGGTGAGACCTTAGAGGCAGCACTGAGAAAGAAAGCATGTGGAGGTCACCACATGCACTCAAGTCTAGCTCTGATGCTCCATGACCTCCTTGAGTGTTGAGTCTGTCCCTAGTAAGGAGGGCCTTGGGAAGGAAGGCCTGAAGGTGGGCAGGGCAAGAGTGGGTGGTGATGACAAGACTTGACCTTCGGCATCTGCATCGCCCCCTATCCTCAATATATACCTCAGATGAGGACATCACAGCTTTTCTCAGTCAAGGCCATGCCAGAGCACCTCAAAGTCAGCCTTAATTTCCACAGACAACTCCACAGCCATGGCCCACATGTTTTCCAACACAGGAGGAAAAGCCATACCCATGGGTGACAGAAGGGCAAGCCACCAGGGTCAGAGGATGGCCAAAGGGATTTAGTAAATATTAGTCAGCCTGGAAAGAGCCCTTGTGGTACAATGGTTAAGTATTCAGCTGCTAACTGGCGGTTCAAATCTACCCAGAGGCTCCATGGGAGAAAGACCTGGTGCTCTGCTTCACTAAGATTACAGCCAAGAAAACCCTATGGGACAGTTCTACCCTGCCACATGGCGTTGCTATGAGTCAGAATCAGCTCAACAGCACCCAACAGCAACAGTCTGTCTGGGGAGACTCAGGATAGGCTCTAGGATGGCCCAACCAAATGGACAGGAAATAAAGACCTACTGACTGCTGCTGAGTCTCCATGGACCCTCTGTAGCTGGGCTGTCTGTGTACATGCTGGGAGTTTGATTACAGTTTGCCTTTCATTTTTATCAAGATAAATTCTCATTTTCCAACCCGGGCCCCACTGCATTTTTCAAACATCAGCCAGCAGCTTAGAGCTCTTCTTTTTCACAATTTCTTCCCAACTCTAAACACCCCTAGACCCTCTGTCACCAAGCTAAGTACAGCTGCCTCATCAGAGCCAGGGAAAGGCTGGAGCCCTCTACTTCTAGCCTGGAAAGGCTGTGGCATCCAAAGCAGTAGAATTTAAAACTACCAGCTTTCCCTTTAGAGAAAAAAGGAAAGAGGATCCCATCTCAACTCTAATTATAAACACTGACCATTTGCCTTATGCCAGGCACTGTTGTAAACCCTTTACATGTATATTAAACTTATTTAGTCCTCACAATCACTTTGTGGGCAAGATGTTTTTATCAGGCCCATTTTACAAATGGGAAACTGAGGTACAGAGAAATGAATTGCCCAAAGTCACAACCTAGTGAGTGAAGGAAGAGAAGTTCAAACCAGAGCTCACCCGTGTAAGTACACTGACAATGAAACTAAGCACTGTAAGGTCATGTTGGCATTGAAATGGCCTCAGAAAAGTAAAAAAATCTCATGCACAGTCATCAATCACCAGGGCATGGAGCAAGGAGCAAGGAGCAATGTCCAGTTGACTGGAAATCAGGGGAGCCTGCCCTGCCTCCTGGGAATCATTCAGCAGTACCCCACCACCACCACAACAACAACTATATTTTCTCCAACCACCAGTCAGTTGCCATTGAGTCAATTCTACTCAGCTACTGTTCAAGAGGTTGGCACTTCGAGTTGCCAACAGGCACCTTGGAAGAAAGGCATGTCAATCTACTTCCAAAAACTCAACTATTGGAACCGTATAGAGCACACTTCTACTCTGACACACACAAGGGGTCACTATGAGTTGGAATTGATGACACTGGTTTGGTGATTTTCTCTACTTCTCCTCAAAAGTGTGATCTCAGAAAGAGAGATGGACCAGGGTTTTCACTTCTTGGAAGCATGTATAGTGCCAGGGCCAGAGAAGGTAGAGGGGCAAAGGGCCAGCTGTAAAGAGGCCAAAGTGAGGGAGGAAGTGGCATGCTCACCCCAAACACCTTCTTGGCCCCAGCTTTGGCAGCAAACATGGAAAGGATCCCAGTGCCACTCCCAACGTCCAGCACCACTTTGTCCTTGAATACGTGCTTGTTGTGGTACATGGAGTTGCGGTAAGTGAGCGTTCGCACCTCATCTTTCAGCATTTCCTGGGGTAGAAGGAAAGAAAACAATATCAATGTATTTCAAGACATCTGGGGGATCATCCCACTAAAATTCTTCAAGGATCTCAAATGTTGTTATCACAGCCATAGAAGAGTGTTGTGGGGCAACTGGACCAGGGCTACCCATAGACAGGGCTACCTCCTGCCAAACCACCCCAGCCTCAAAACTCTGCCCAAGAAACAAAGCTTCAGAAGAGACACTCATGTTCAGATGGGAAGGCTCCAATTTATCAAAGAACAAAACAAAACAAAACAAAAATATTAGTTGCTACTCATGGCCACCCTGTGTGAACAATATTTGTTGATGGTGTTAGAAAACTTGGCAACCAATACTGGTAATGGTTGCACAACATGATTAATGTAAATGATGTCACTGAATTGTACATGTCAGAAATGTTGAACTGGCAAGTGTTATGTCATTTATATCTTTTACAACAAAATTTTTTTAAAAAAGGAAATATCTGTATGATGCAGTAATGAGAGATTTACATTAGATCTGAAGCAGAATTTGCTGAGATAGTGAGAGAATTATCATTGAGTAAGTTATCAAGGGAGAGTTTTTTCATGTATTTTTGTTGTTGTTGCTTTTGTTTTCGAGAACAGAAAAGATGTTCCTTTGTCCAGCATTATCAAAGTGCTTTGCAGGGAGAGAGAAACTAGATTACAACTGTCTCCAGCTCAAGGGGTATGGGACTAATCTGTGTATGATGGTGGGGAAAGGATTTTTAACTATTGGAGATATTTACAAATATTTCTGACTAACTTATTGCTAATAGCATTGGAATGAAAATACTTTTAGAAATCAACTTCATTGAAGTGTAATTTGCATACAATGAAAAGCACAGATTTTTAGTGTATAGTTTAGTGTAAGGATTTTGACAAATGTATACACATTTTGTGTATAATTTTTTTCTATCCCAAACTCACAAAGATATTCTCCTATGTTTTCTTCCAGAAGCTTTATAGTTGTAGTTTTTATATTTAGGTCTGTGATTCATGTAAAATTACTCTTTTATGTATGATGTGAATTAGGGGTGTGGGTTCACTTTTGAAAATACAAACATCAAGCTGTTTGAACTCCATTTCTTGAGGAAAAAAAAATCATTTATTTCCCCATTAAATTATCTTGACACCATTGCCCAAAACCAATAGACTGTACATGTATTAATCAATTTCTGGTCTGTCTGATCTGTCTCACTGATATACCAATTCAACACTGACTTTATTACTGTAACATTATATTAATCTTGAAATGAAGTAGTATGAGTCTTCCAACTCTATTCTAGGTGCTTTACATTATAATGTAAATTTCAGAATCAGTCTGTCTATTTATACGCAATATCCTGCTGAGATTTTGACTGTAAGTGCATTGAATCTCTAGATCAATTTGGAGACATGACATCTTATCAATATTGAACTTTATAATCCAAGAACATGATCTCAATCTAGTTAGGTCTTCTTTAATTTCTCTGTGCAGTGTTTTATAGTTTTCAGCATAGAATTCTTAGATTTCCATCATTAAATTTATTCTTAATTACGTTATTACATATGATACATTTTTTTTTATTTCATTTTCCAGTTGCTTAGTTTTAGTATATGAATTGACCTTGTATCATGCAGTCTAAATTCACTTATTAATTCTATAAAGATTTTTGTAGATTCCTTTGATTTTCTATGTAAAAAGTCTAACCATCTGAGAATGAATGGCCGTTTTACTTTTTTTTTCACATCTGCATGTCTTATATTTCTTATTTTCTCATGTCTTATTGCACTGATGAGGACTTCCAGTACAATATTGAGTAGAAGTGAAGAGAATAGACACCCTTTCTTTGTTCCAATCATATATATTACCACTGAGTATAATTTTAGCTGTAGGTGTTCAATAGATGCCTTTTTGTCAAATTATTTCTGATTTGTTAATAGTTTTAGCATAAATTAATGTTGAATTTTATCATATGTCTTTTCTGTGTCTATTGATATGGTATATATAGCTTTCTCCTTTAATGTATTGAACTCCATTGATTGGTTTTTGAATGCTGAACCAACACTTTGCCATGATGTATTATTCTCTTTTAAGAGTAATGACTTTTATTTGTTCATATTTTGTTACAGATTTTTATATCTGTATATATAAAGTATATTGCACTACGTATTTTTTTCTTACTTTGTCAGGTAATCAAGGTTATGCTGGCCTCATCATGCAAGTTAGGAAGTGCTCTTCAGTCATACATTTTCTGAAAGATTTTGTGCGAGGTTGATATTGTTTCTTCCTTAAATGCTTGATTAACCAGTAAAACAATGTGGGCCTAGAGGTTTGTTTACTTTTTAATGGGGATGTTTTTAATTATGAATTCTATCTGTTTACTAAATAGAGAGCACTTTTAGTTTTCTATTCATTCTTACGTCAGTTTTGACAAAGTGTTGTCCATGCCACCCAAGGATTTAACCTATTTCTTCTAAGATGTAAAATTTTTGGTAATACATGGTCATAATATTCTCTTATCTTTTGAATATCTGTATGATCTGTAATGAGTACTTGCTTTCATTTATGGTATTATAATTTCTGTTTTCTCTTTCACACTTTTTTGGTCTTGCATAGTTAAATATTTATTTAGTCTTGTAAAAAAAAAAAAAAAAACCTTTGGGATTCTATAGAAGAATCCAAATCAAAACGGGGAAAATGCAGAACAGAATTTCAAATTCTAATGAACTCTAGACTTCTTGGAGCCATGAAGGGTGGGTGAATCCCTGAAACAATTGCTCCTGAGATAATCTTTAAGCCTTAAACTAAAAATGTCCCCTGAAGTCTTAAAACCAAATAATACTTTAGCTTATTTAGTAAAAAAATGTCTTGCTTGAGCATTATGCTCTTTTAAGAACTATCTCTATGGGATCAAAATGACAACAGAAACTCAAAAGATTAGATAGGAACCTGAGGGGCAGTGAGTTTATGTTAATGGGGGAAGAACAAAAAGTAGGGTGAAAATGGTTGCACAACTCAAGGAATGTATCAATGTTACTAAATGGTCCACGTAGAAACTGCTGAATTGGTGCAGGTTTTACTGTCTATGTTCTCAAGAACAAAAAAATAGGTAAAATTTAAATAAAAGCTGTTGACTTTTTTGGTTTTCTGTTTTGTTTGAGTTCTATTTCATTGATTTCTGTTCTCATCTTTATTATCTTCTTTCTTCAACTTACTTGGGTTTTATTTGTACTTCCCTTTCTAGCTTCATAAGACGAAAAATTTGGTCACTGGTTTTATACCTCTTCATTTCTAATAATTGTTGTTGTTAAGTGCCGTCGAGTCGTTTCCAACTCATAGCGACCCCATGCACAGCAGAACAAAACACTGCCCGATCCCGCGCCAGCCCCACAATCCCTGCTATA